CATGCCAATGACCATGATACTATCCTCATGCCAATGACCATGATACTATCTGCATATACAATTATAAATACGTTGTTTATTTTTCAATTAGGAACATCTTTTATTTTCATTTAATATATGAGAGGGTGTTGACACACTTTTCAAAACCAGTATTTCAAAAATCAAGCATCCGAATGCTGATTTAAGGAAGTAGGAGGAGGATGATAATTTTTCAGCACACCTTTGTTTTGGGAGGGTGGAAGAGAAAAAAAATCAAAATGAATAGAGTGGTAACATGAAAATCCATTTGTAAAAACAAATTCTTGAAGGCTGAAAGAAAAGTTTACAAGTTCACTGCAATCAATTAACCACAGGAAAGTTTACCATAAAAGGATAAAAATTAAACAATTTTTTAATGGGTTTTAATTTTATTGATTAATTTTAGTTGCATTAATAATGACCAAAGGCTAAGTAAAGTCATAATTGAACCGTACACATCTGGGGAAGCACCTAAAAAGGATGAAAAGCTCATGTTAGTTCTGTTGAGTGAATTCGAAGACTTGTTCTAAATTACCACAAAGATAATTGTATCCCTGACTACTTGAGAGGGATAGCCCATAATATCAGTTATTAGAAACCAAAGTTATAATTATTAAAATTATCAGTTATCATTTACTTTACCCTATTTTAAAAATGTTACAGATACATTGGTCATTAAAATTGAAACCCATTAAAAAAGAGTTTTATTTTTATACTTTTATAGTGAACTTTCCTTGCAGTTATTCGAGGACAGTGAACTTAACAGGCATGAAAAAAGAAAAAAAAGCAGTCATGGCTCTTCCCAGCTGCCTTTTCTTTAAATATTTAAAAACTGCATCTTGCCTGGATTATTTTTCATAAAGATAGTCGGGTGGCCTCCTGTTGCCTGAATCTGGAGACTGGTCCTACCAAAACTAGAAATCACAGCATTCATTTAATATTTTACCCATAACTGGGGAATTGATGATTAGTATATTGTTAGTGAATTATGAAATAAAATTACTTTTGCTTTGAAAACAAAGTGTAATATCTGTTCAATATTTTATGTTATTAATGCATTGCATGGAAAGATGGATTCATGCCTTTACCAAGGATATTTGTATGAAAGTGAACAGACTAGTTGAGAATTTGAATTTGTCAATTCTACTTTCTACACTGTTGGTTACACTACCTGAAGAATCTTAATTAGCAATTACACATATCACAGTAAATGGTTATATCCCCTCACGGAGACCCTATGCCTTGAACACCTATTGGAACGTGAGCTCAACCCAGACCTCAAGTAGAACTTGTACATATGATCCATCACTAAAGATGCTGGAGAAATAGTCAGTTCTCTGTACCACTCCAGTAAGTACCTGACTCCTCCTGCTAGCCACTAACTTTACAGCCACTCAAGGCCGGAAATGGAGTACAACTGCCATATATGAGCAGGAGCTGCCAAGTTTTCACTTTCCAGTCTCCACTACAAAAGTGTCTTCATGTTTGTAGATAACAAATTATTTTCTACCTGTCAATCACTTTCCCACAGATGAAACGTGGCAAGCCTCTTGCAACTCTTTCGCTATTTCCTTGGAAAGTGTTCATATGAACTGCATTCCTTAATTCCACCAATTTTAACCTTCACCGCTAAAACCCACCATGTCACACACATTGTACTGAACTACCCTCATTCACTTAGTCACTTAGTATTCCATTGGTGAGATGTAAATTACACTTGAACAGCTTTTTTCCACAAACCATTAATTTATGGAACTAACTCCCAAGAAGATGCATACCCAATTACTACAATCTTCATCTATTCAAATCTAGGGTTAATCATTATGTTATATATCCCCATAAACTGTACTACTTTTTATTTAATCAGTTCACTCCAAGCAAGTTGATAATGCTACTGAGATACAAGGGGTTACTGGGAGTAAAAGTGAATGAAAAGACTTTAGAAGGAACTGGAAACCCAATCCTAAACATGAAACAAGGGAGTAAACCTCTACTCCTGCTCAAAAACTGGGGAGGAGTATGAAATGGACAGTAGGCATACATTTCTAATCTTTACTCCTACTAAGTAACCCTCTAGCTTGAGTGGCTTTTGGACCTTGTACAGGATGAACGTTATCATAAAAATATTAACATCTCCATGTGTTTTTTTCTTTCCTGTGTATTTTGCTATATTTTCAAAGCTCATTACTCAGGTTAGTAAATGCCCGTTGTCATCTCTTGCTTGTTGTGAGGAGAGGAGGAAAGATATTATTCTGGAGGAGAAATTCAAATGTGAGGGTCATTTTGATTCATTCATGATGTATCTATCAGATCATAACCCTCATCATAACTAGAGGGGCATCATTTTCTGGGGGTGAAGAGTAATCATTATTTACATTATTCATACTCTCACTATTGTCCTCAGTTTTGTTGCTATCATCACACTTTTTAAACTGTTTTGCCTTCTAGCCTTCATTAGGTGTTTGTTGATCTGAGTCACCTGCAGGAAATTTTGAATTGAAACCCTTTATTTAATTCATGAGGTTAGATTGTTTTCATTCCCCTCTTTATGATTACCCATGTCCTGAAGTGACATAAAATAACAAGACAATATCTATGTATCTTTGGTTAAATTGAAATGATAAGAAATATCTTAAGTCTTTTGGCGACTTTCTCCTGGTGTTGAATAAATTATTTGATTTCAAGTAGAAACTTGTAAAGAAACTTGCCAAAATTGTGTGTAATATTCCAAACAATCAAGAGTGTGAGACTCACCTTTGCAATGAGGTTTCCAACTCGTGTCCAGTTGGCTGACAAAAATAAACAGGGTTGTCGCTCAATATATTTCCATTTCTTGAATAGTCACAGTATGCTGGATATTTATTGAGCACAATATCCACACCAGAATCATCAGCCAATCAGAACTTACTGAATAGGCTTGCCCAGCTAACAGAATGGAATCTCCCAGACTGTTATATAAACCACCTACCAATTTGCCCAGCAGATAACTTAGAACAGTGCCATATCCTGTTCATTACTGTCAAACTCTCTGCTTTGAGCAGAAGCAGAGAGAAATCTGGATGAGGCTTTGCTGAAGGGCAAAGTTTCATCCGGGGAGGTAGACAGACCCAGACCTGCTTATATGGGTTCTATGGGGATATTTTTGGTCGAGCCTATGGACTCAGAGGACTCACAGTAAACATGGACTTGTGCTACATACATTGCTTGGGAGTGGGGGTCTATTAAATATTAACTTGGTCAGTCAGATTCAACTTCTATTACAGTCGAGTACTGTCTGTTGCTATTACCAAATTCTACAACTTTTGACAAGAGTTGGTCATTTTCAAGGAAAGAAGGTCACAGCTGGAGATAGCCAGTGGCTATTTATGGTCCATAGTTTAAAATGAATGCCTCCTCATATACTAAGGTTGTTTGAGTTTTATCATGCATATCAACCCCATGTAAGCTGAACTAACCATCCTAGACCACACTGACTACTCTCATGTGCTACAAAATGGCCAAAAAGTCAAACTATGAGTTATTTAAGTAAGATTTCCATATGGGCTAAGTCATATGATCTTGAGATTTTAGCCTGAAAATCTCTTGGGGCATAAAACTGACAGTAACCATGCAGTGTTAATTCTTCTTTCCACATTGAATATTCTTTTCCAATAAATATAGTTAAGTTTCAAACAATAAATAAAATATATGTAGTAAATATTTACCAACAAGTGTTAAGAAATAATTTATCCAGTCTTAACAATATCAAAATTATTACAATCATATCCCAAACTATCATGGATATGACCAGAAAGTAAAATATTAATAACAATGATAATTCTGAAGTAGGTATATATAAAATAAACAGTCACAACTGTATATTGGAGAAACTTGCAAAAATTAAAAAAAAAACATAATGAACACAAAAGGGATCTTATACATAATAATTTATCAAATGCATTAGTTATACATAGAAATAAGTTTAACCACCACTTTGAACTGAAGAATACCACACTTATTAAATGAGAAAGTTACTTAGATGGACAATTCTTGAGAGTGCCACTATTGAATCATAGCAAAATATAAATCTGCACCCCTGATTTTTTTCAAATTTCTCCTTTCTTAAAAGGAAATGAATGACCCTGTTCCCAAACCAAGATACATGGCTATAAAAGATTTTAAAAATTAAAAGAAAACAAATTCAAAACCTTGTATTATTTAAAATATATAATACATAGATTGATATCTCAAACTAAAATAACAAATAATAATTGCATTATAAAAAAATTCAATAACAACATTTACTCACTTTTGTTTATTAGGCATTAAATTACATCACTTAACATCCTCCATAATTTATCTTGACTTTCAGATAACTTGAAGTATATTTATGGTCATTCTTATTTAAAAAATCTGAAAAAACTAACAGCATTTTTAGTTTAGTTTACAATTACTTGTTGCAAAATCAAATCCTTATATCTGCTTTAATAATGTTCATCAGAGGACAAAACATACCAGCTAAGAAAAGAAGTTTTTGTTTTGTCTATATTCATTTACAAGAGAGCGTTAAGAAAGTCTGCCTAAGTGCTCGCTCACTCACTTATTTCTGCCAAGGGAAGAGTTAAAGTGAAAAAGATGAAGAAAGAAAAAAATTAAAAGAAAAAAACAGGTTGCAATGACATACTTTGACTTCAAGTGGAAATAATGAATGATATAAACAAGTTTATGAATATAAAGAAAAAAAAAAGATTTCAGGGTCCATGTGTATTTTTGCATTTTCTCAAAACTATTGTCAAATACTGCCAGGTTGAACATTTTGTGATTTGGACAGTTTTGTATAAAATTTGACATTTTGGCCTTCAAAACTGAAGCAAGACAAATAAAGAACTTTAAAGGATTCATTGTAAAAGACAGAAGCAGATTAAAAAAATACCAAAACAATGTTTAAGCAGACAGGAATGTCAAAAAGGTTAAAAATGCAGCCATTATTGATAATAGTTGAATTAAAAGAGAAAGCATATTGGAGGGAAAAGGGCTGACAGAACATGAGCTGAGCAAGGGAGGAGAACAGGAAGTATGTGAGAAAGAAAAAGGGTGCAATGAGAGAGAAAAACAGTTATACAGGAGAGGAAGAGTGAAAAAGAGATGTGGGAGAGTGAGAGAGAAAAAAGAGTAATGGGAAGAGTAAGAGAGAAAAAAGAGTAATGGGAAGAGTAAGAGAGAAAAAAGAGTAATGGGAAGAGTAAGAGAGAAAAAAGAGTAATGGGAAGAGTAAGAGAGAAAAAAGAGTAATGGGAAGAGTAAGAGAGAAAAAAGAGTAATGGGAAGAGTAAGAGAGAAAAAAGAGTAATGGGAAGAGTAAGAGAGAAAAAAGAGTAATGGGAAGAGTAAGAGAGGAAAGTGTTATGTGGGAGTATAAGAGAAAAAGAATGCTGTAAGTAAATAAAAGGGGAATAAGAGAATGTGTTGGAAGTGAGTGGGAGGAAGTAGAGAGAGAAAAAGAGTGTTGGAATTGACAGAGAATGAAAAAACAAAATGGTACTGAAAGGGTATCACAAGCAATGGATAAAAATTGAGCTGAAAATCATTGACTGAGGGAGAAAAATGAGAGAAATGGGATTAGAAGCAAAAGAGAGACAACTGAAGCTGGCTGAGAGAGAGAGAGAGAGACATACAAATGGAACAAAGAGAAAAAGTTGAGAGGCAGTTAGAGCTAAGGGAAGCAGAGTGTGAGAGAAAGAGAGAAACAGCCAACTGGATCCAAGTGAATGGAGAAAGATGCAGCCAACTGGATCCAAGTGAATTTGAGAGAGAGAGAGAAGCAGCCAACTGGATCCAAGTGAATATGGAGAGAGAGAGGCAGCCAACTGGATCCAAGTGAAAGTGAAAGTAAAAGTGAAAACTGGAACCAAGGGAAACAACTGGAGTTAAGTGAAAGAAAAAGAGATGAACTAATAGAAAGAGACAACTGGAGCTAAGAGAAAGGGAGTGGCCAAATTAACTAGTGACAAGTGAAAAGAAAAGAAAATGAGACAGTTGAAACTAAATTGAAGAGAGAGAATGTGAATAAAAGGAGAGGGAAAAGTGTGTGAGAGAGAGAGAGAAAGTGAGAAAGAGGGAGATTGAATGGTAATCCAGAGAGTGGGAAAGAGAAAGAAAGAGGGAGTGAGAAAATGAGAGCAAAAGTGAGAAGCAAGAAGACAGATGGGAGGAGAAACTGAGAGACAAATTCGACGTGAAGTAAAGAGTGAGCAAATATGGATGTGAGGAACAGAACAGTCAGAGAAATGACACCTCGAAGCTTTCTGCAATAATAGAATCAGAAACAAACAAAGATGCAGAGACAAGTACCAGATATAAAAACAGCAGAGAACAAAGGTTATTATATGGTGGAAAAAAAGAATAAAAAAATATAAGCTGAATGTGAAGAGAATGCAATACAAAGCAGTGGTATGTGGGTGGGTTGTTTTTATGCTGGAGATTTTTGGTGTGTTTCTGCAAAATATTATAAAAATGCTCCTCCAACTCTTTTGATAGCAGCAAAAAAAAGAAACTTCTAATAAAAAAATGTTTAACATGCAGCAAAGCAAGAAAGAAACAAGAGAGTCATTGCTTTTATGTTTCAGCCATGACCGAAAGGTTGGTATATATAATTCTAGCAATCTAAAAATGCAAGAATATAGTCAAATGTTGCTTACCATAATAATAACACCCATTCTTGAAAATGACTGTGACAGTTGAAAGAACCATAATATAATAAGAATAAAATATGTACTCTATGTACAATTTATTCATTACTTCAATCCCGATGTACAACCATTTTTGAGAAATTGGAAATATATAATAAAAAGTTAAATAGACAGACCTTGTTGATGGAATTTAATAAAACTTGTTTGGATTAATTCTTTCTGCCTAAAAACAAATTATATATAGTGGGTGAAACAGCAAAATTGTCTTATTGTTTGATGAAGCTTTGAACTGTTGTCTCTTAGAAATTATTAAAGATATCTTACTGGAATTCTCTGGGGTTTTGATAATACTATTGGACTCTACTTTGAGCAATAAGAATGTATAATTACTTTCTAAGCTTAACAGAAGAACTGGAAGCTCACGAAGGATTGAAAATGCTCATATATATATATATATATATGTGTGTGTGTGTGTGTGAAATGTGTATGTATATATATATATATATATGCAATTTATTATATATATTATCTATATATTATATATGTGTGGTACTTATTCGAAAGCGCTCAATATCAGTGATAGACCTAACATATTTAGTTGAATCCAACTAAATATATATATATATATATATATATATATATATATATATATGAAGAAATATAGTCTTAAGCTGTGCTATATTTATGGGATAAAGTGCTCAATATCAGAGATAGATCATGTGTAAATATAAAACTGAACATAGAAGTCAACGCTTAGAGGCAACAGTCTGTTTCATACTAGATGCAATTGTCAGGCCACATTTTGTTTTCAATCGTTATGAGTCTACTGATTGAATAGAATTTTATTATAAACAATTGTCTTGTAAATGGAATTTTTAAAGCATTCTGAATGTAAAAATAAAGAAAAAAGTGTGCAAGACAATAAGAAACACGATCTGCCAAAAAAAAAGTGAAGTTTTGTTGAAATCGGTTGAAAAATGTAGGAAATCCGATCCCATATATAAACGAACACAGAGACACACACACACACACACAAACAACCTGGGTTTTATAATAAGTATAACTCAATATGAGTTGTTCCCCTTTCATTCTCGCGCTGCCTGTTAATCGTGTTTTCAAATTGGTTTTGTGCAAAAACAATCATGTTTTTCCAATTTTGGGCACTGTCAGAACCACCGCAAGATAACTTTACGCAGTCCTGTGAAGTTTTGTTGAAATCGGTTGAAAAATGTAGGAAATCCGATCCAATATATAAACGTACAGACACACACACAATCTGCGTTTTATAATAAGTAAGATATATATATATATATATATATGAAATGCACTCCACACACACATATATATATATATATATATATATATATATATATATATATATATATATATATATATATATATACACATGTGAATATACACAAATATATATATATATATATATATATATATATATATATATATATACACATGTTAATATACAAAATATATATATATATATATATATATATATATATATATATATATATATATATGAATATAGAATTAATATAAAAATATTTTTTCCCTTAACTCATGCTTACTTTGAAGTTTTGTGGCTATATAGATGTGGCCACACATTGGAGAGGAATCAAAAATAGTCTTTCAAATTAACGCTATATATGAATATATATGTGTGTGTGTGCATGCACACATATATATATATATATGTGTGTGTGTGTGTATATAAATGAACATAGAGAAATAGAATAGATGAAAAGATTTATTGCTTGTTTATGAAAGAGAGTAACAAGTGCTTGAAAGAATGAGAAGAGAGCAGCCTAACAAATAAATAAATACTCAATCAAGGTAGGTAGGTAATATATATATATATATAAGAACTTTAAGATTAATCTAATCATATTTTGTGACATCTAGTCTTTTGTAAGACAATTTATTGGCATTTAAACAAATCAGACCATAAAAAGAAGAAAAAATAACCCAAAACAAACATAAATGTTATCCATTAAAAAGATTAAAAAAGTATCAAGGTATGATAAAAATTTTGAAAATAAAATAAAACAAAAAAACAGATGAATGCTCCAGAAAAAGCCATATTTGTTCCCTTAAAAATAAAATAACCTAAAGACAAGGTGATGTAGAATATAAAAATAGTCTGAGGAATTATATATGTTTGGTGTAGTCAGAGAGTGAGTTAAGAAAATAAATGAAAACTATTCATATCAATATTGGTATGACTTAGTGATTAATCATTCATAAAAGCCATTTTTCCTGTTAAAACGGAGACAAGGTTACCTTCAATATTTTATTATTAAATTGTGGGCTTTTATTTATAAGGTTACAAATAGCAATTATCTGATTTTCATTGAAACCTTTGTCCATGCCCAACATTAATACTTCAATGGAGTGTAATGGTTAGCATGTTTGTCTCACTAGATCAATTACAATTGGGTAATGTTTGATCCTCACTGAGCCCTCCATACTTTCGGCCTTGTGCCACATCTAAGCTATTTTGTTTTCTTTCTTAGTTTGTATTTATAAGATTATGTAAATGGATGGCAGAACATGAACTAAGAGGAGTAGTAAGGGAAAAATACACTGCTTAGAGCTGCAAAGATTGGGAAGTTGTAGAGAGCCATGATCAACAAAAAATTATCAGTTCTGCAATGCAACAGAATCTCAGGTGAAAATATAAAACAGTCTATCGTGAATGCTACAATTCAATGATTCTTTTGGACGAGCATCCTTATTTTTGCTTTTAATTACAATATTTCGGACAGTAACCTCTACAGCCTTTCTCAAGTGTGTGTATATATATATATATATATATATATATCAATTTGTCTTTATTCAGACTACTGTCCTCATCTTTGTCGCCATATTTATTATGTTTTGGCCGTTGTATGCTCCGGCCTTCTTCAGGTGGTTGGAATGTCGAACTTAACCCTTTATTTTGCTCACTGAGGTAGACTGTTCTAGTTCCACGTGCCATGTTTAATGGATGTCAGTTATCAGTTCTCTCCTGTTAATTTCCCTCTGAAAGTTCTCCACTGCCTTAACCGGGTATTGAACTCACTCTTTGGGTCCTGTCATTGGATCTTATTTGTTTGTTGTTTTCTATGTACATCATACTAAATGATTCAGTTTTATTTACTGGTTACATCCAGACAATAAAATCACTTGTTATTCCCATGCCATTTGAATATATCTTTGTTTGAATGTTGGTTTGGAGTTTACCTTTAAAGGATTTAGCTAATAAAAGGATTAACTCACAACAACCCTCTGCTCTGAATGGTTTTGAGCCTTGTTTTAGGTGAACTTTACTTTGAAAAAAAAAAAAAATAGGATGCCTTGCTTTGAAGCAGTGGTTAGAAAAGTAGTTGTACAGATCAGAGGTCAGAAAATTAATTCCACCTTTTTGTTTCAGCTGACTTGCTAGCCATGCGTAATATGCTATTTTTCTGAGGTAATGATTCTTATTTATTTTTCATTTCAGATTATTTTCTATTAAATTTTAACTTCTAATAACTTATTAACCCTCTGCAGGTTATTTAAAACCAGAAAATATTTTTAGATTGTAAGATTCTTTTTTGGGAGGATAATAATTTAATGATACAAGTCTGGCTAGTTAACCCATAGGTGGTGTGAGAAGAGATGAATTCATACATTTCCCAAGGGTATTTGCACATAAGTGAATATAAAAAACCCAATTGGAACTGGAACTCTGTTCTCCGATTAACAATTCTGAGCCATTATCATTACACTACCTGCATATCCAAGCTTACAGCACCTGGTATTCCCAAGTGATCACCCATCTAGGTACTGGCCAGGCTTGATGTTGCTTAATTTTGGTGATTGTATGGAAACAGGTGTTTCATTGAGGAATTCATATCAGAACTACAATTGAAAGGGGGTGCTGAAAACTTCACAGCCTGGACAAAAAGTTCATCCTCTCTAAATTCTGGGATTTGATCATCTGGACAGATTTGGGCAAGTTTGGTTGGGCTGAGAACTTTTCAACACTCACCTCAGCCTGCAGTTCAAGGATATGTTGAAAGACAAAAACAAAGAACGTTAATGGACTTTTACAATTGGCTCCGAGGTGAAGGATATTCTGCTGGAAAATCTTTATCTCAGTAATTAATTTCAACATTTGACTGAACATATTTCTAACAGTTGCTGAAGGGCCCAATATATATGTCACCAGGCTTGGAGACCTTGTTACTTAGTAGTTGTATTGTAGCAGTAGTAATAGTGTTAGCAATAGTGCTAATATTATGAGAATAAATTTTAATGATCCATCAAATAAAACAGACATTATATGCACATATATACATGAAGTGATAACATATAAATATGGACTAGCAGTAGCAAAAAAATGGGGAAAACATAGGGCTGTTTCATTACTGCTAAAAGACCATATGGTAGCAGACTCACAGAAAATTACAGTTAAATATATATATATGTATATATGTGGGGAAAATATATGACAAAGTGGAAAAAGTTTTTGTATGATGTGTTTTGTCCTTTAAGACTTCATCAAACTAAATGTATTACGTTTGTGTGACTATACATGCACACAAATGAGAGATGCTGGGAATTTTAAATTTGACATTTTTTTTTGCCTATAATCTATTCGATTTCATTTAGATTCTTTTTCTTTTTATTTCCATCACATTTGTTATTAGATATCCCACTCTGTGATAATAGAAGATCTTGCCAGGAATAGTGAAATGCTGCAAGAGTGAGGGAACAAATTTACTCTGGATGACATTGCAATCAAGACACTCTCTAAACATTTTCATCTTAGCGAATTGTTTTCTTCTTTGTTCAGAACAGTATTTTTTTTTTATGTCAAAATTGTACTCAGTGTTATTACAGTGGGTAACCAATGCATTTGACATATTGTTTTGTAAAATGTCCCTTTTGTGTTCATATAATCTTTTATTTACATTCTATGAGGTTTCTCCTATGTATTTTTTGTGACAATTATTACAGGTGATAGAGTAAATTCATAATAACAAAAAATACATTTCACATTAACGTACGGTTCCCAGGGCTCTATCTTTGAACTTATATTGTTTCTTATCTTCAGCAAAAAACTTCCTGATGTCATCATTTCCCAGTTAGGTATTTATGCAGATGACACAACTATTTACTCCCGTCTTAGTAGCAAGTCAGACAGATTGACAAAGTAAAACTAGCAACTGCTCTGAAAAAGGATCTCAAGTCAGTGGTTAACTGAGGCAAGAAATTACTTGTAAATTTTAACATCTTCAAAACAAAACTGCTTTCATTTAATAGAGAACCTTTCTTGATTGCCATCAGAATTGCTAATGCTAACCTCTAGGAAAGCAACCCTTTGTACCATCTTGTGCTCCAGTTTTCCACTGATATAAAGTGGAAGGATTATATTGAATCAGTTGCTGGTCTGTTACGAGGAAAGTTGATTCTCTGTATCGTGCCAGACAGTTTTTCTTGTCAGAATCCATCTTGCATATTTATAAATCTTCTATTTGATCGTGTATGAAATATTGCTGTCATATCTGGTCTGGTGCTCCTACTATATATTACGAGATTCTTGATAAAATTCAGAGAAGTGTCTGTAATACAATCTATCTTAACCTGGCATACCAACTTCAGTCACTTTCTAAACTGATGTGATGTGGCTTCCCTCCATCTTTTCTACAAATATTTTCATGACAACTTTTTTGATCAGATTTCCTTTTTCTGGGCAATGACTGCATGAATTGGCAACTCAGTCTTACCATTTTACTGTTGAATTCACTAGATTCAACTGTATGTTCAACTCTAATAGTTTATTTTCTCACACTTCTCAACTGTGGAACTCCTTTCTATTTTCTTGCTTCCCTGCCATCTATGATCTTCAAAAATTTAAATGCAATGCCAATTGCCATCTTCTTTCTTTCTGAAACCTGTTTTTTTTTTGTTCTTTCTTCTCACTAAAGTCTTCTCATTTTCTTTCACTCTCTGTAACCCTTTGCATGCTAGTGGTATTATTGCCTTGTTTGGGGTGAGATGATTAAAAATTTTTTTTTTTTTTTTTAAAAGATGAAATCTGCATATTGATTAGTTTTGATTGATGAACATTTACTGTCAATTTTGATGAAGGGAAACACAGATTTTGAACAATTTGATTTTATCAAAGAAAAACAATTCTTTCACATTGATTGTTTTTAACACTCCTGCTAAACATTCAGCTGTATATTTATTTACAAAGGAAAATATTATTTATTATGGCTTTGGATAAAGTATTAAAAAACTGTGTTATTTTTGTTTTGATATATTTTACTTTAAGTTTGTTTTGGCCTGTAAGTCCCAAAACATTACTAATCTGTCCAATTTCCTACAATGTTTTCCAATTTAGCAAAGTTCAATACACATTTTAAAATTTTATTGATTGATCTGTTTTTTTTTGTTTCAGCTGACCTGCTAGCTATGCATGATATGCTATTGTTCTGAGGTATTGATTCTTAGTTTATTTTTCATTTCAGATTATATTCTATTAAATTTTAACTACTTCTAATAACTTATCAGCCTTTTGCAGGTTATTTAAGGCCAGAAAATATTTTTGAAATCTAAGAATTTTTGAAGGTAATAAAGATTTACTAATACAAGTCATACTAGTTAATCGATAGCAGGGGGGAGAAGAGGTGGATTCATACCTTTCCCATGGCTATTCGTATAGAACTGAATGTAACAAACCTGATTGGAATTGGAACTCAACTCACCAATTTCCATTTTTGAGCTGTTATCCATTACACCACCTGCACATCCAAGTTTACAGTCCCTCATATTCCCAAGAGGTCCCCCATGTAGGTACTGACCAGGTTCAACCTTGTTTAACTTTGATGATCATATAAGAACTGTTGTTTCAATGTGATATGGTTGTAAGAAAATATTTTCAAGATGTAGTTTTCATATATTGAGTAAAAAGGATTAACTTCATCTGACATGTAGAGAATATATATGTTATCATTTTTAAATAATAATTTTTATATTATTTTCTGTTTTAAAATATCTTACAATATAAAAAGTATTTTGTGCCTAATAGATATTAGGTAAACAAAAAAACATAATATACTCCATAATTAATCTATACAAAAATTTATTTTTTTTGAGAAATATTAAAAATGAAGTGTTTATTAATCAAAATGCAGTTTTCATACATTCAATAAGAATATTAATGAATTTCATCTGACACGCAGAGAATATGTAATATGCCATTATTTTTACATAAGTTTTTTATATTATTTTTACTTTAACAATATCATGTTTAAAATAAAACTATTTTCTTTGTGTATCTAATTTATCTAAGATGAATGATAATTATATTATATCCAATAAAGAATATATGCAAAAAAAAATGTACATTTTATTCTTGAAAACATTAAAAAATAAAATTGTTGTTAGTCATAGACAAATATAAAGTGAGGAAAGTTATATATATATATATATATATATAACTTATATATATATATAACTTCTATAAATACTTTACAGATGAAGGATATTCTGTTTGAAAATCTTTAATCTGCTTTAACAGACCAGAGTATTGCACCAACACAGAGTATACCTGCAGCTCAGAGTATGCCCCCAGCTCAGTGTATGGCTCCAGCACAGAATATGTACATGTATATGCCTCTAGCTAGAGTTATTTTACGCTATGTTTCTTTATACTCGGTTGATTAAGTGATTTGTTTTTACAGCTTATCACCCATTGCAGGTTATTTAATGCCAGAAAATATTTTTAGATTGTAAAATCTTTCTTTTTTTGGATAATAATGATTTAGGGGTACAAATCTTATTAATTAACCCTGGGGTGAGAAGAGGTGGATTCATACCTTTCCCAATGGTATTTGTGCATAAGTGAATATAATAAACCTGACTGGAACTGGAACTCAGCTCTCTGATTACCAATTCCAAGCCATTATCATTACACCACCTGCACGTCTAAGCTTATAGCACATAGTATTCCCAAGTGTTTACTCATCTAAGTACTGACCAAGCTTGACGTTGCTTAACTTTCGTGATCTCTTCAAAGTGGAACTTGGCTCTCCCATCAACAATTCCGAGCCACTATTATTACCCACTCACATGTCTAAGCATATAGCACCTAGTATACCCAAGTGGTTACTCATCTAAGAGCTAGCCTGGCTTGACATTGCTTAACTTCAGTGATTTTATGGGAAATGGTGTTTCAATGTGATATGGCCATAAGCCTTTTATCATTGAAGACTTTGTACCAGATTTAAAATTGAAGAAGGGTATTCAAAAGTTCTCAAATTTTTTGTTTCTTTTTAGATAATAATGGTTTAGTGATACAAGTCTTACTAAGCCATATCTGGGATTAGAACAAGTGGGTTCATGCCTTTTCTAAGGGTATTTGCACATAAATGAATATAATGAATCTAACAGAAATTCCAACAGCTCCTGGTATTCCTAAGTGGTCACCCAACTAGAACCTGACCAGGCTTGGGGTTGCTTAACCTGTGATCATACAGGAACCAGTGTTTCAATAGGATGTGGTTGCTTTATACTTAGAGTACAAGTCAAGCTAGGAAAGTTTCTACCCCTGGCTATAAAAATGATTGCCCTGGGTAAGATGACAAACTACATCCATGTCCTGGGTATGACAATAAACTACATCCTACAGCAAGGCCTCTGATAAGGAGGTTTTGAGAAACATGGGACCACCTCTTAATTGCTGGTGTTCTCTGGTCCACCCTGACCTGGGGTGGTAGCACCTGTCAGGGTCCCAGTTATGAGCAAATAGTTACTCCCCACCCACCAAAAAGTGTCAAAACACTACAAAAGTATAAAAATAGGCTTTAATGCCAGCAATACTTTTTCTGAAAAAATTATTACCTGCAGTACATTTTTGAAAAAGAAAAAAATTACCAGCAATGCATTTTTGGAAAAAAATATTACTGGTGTTGTGTCCCATGCTCCCTATCACCGATTGTGAATTGACTATATCATTAGATATATATAGTAAGCACAGGACATACCTGGTGGATTTTCTTTGGTAATTAACTGGAGATTTGTCTCCAGCTGTGCTGGTTAAAAATCTCTGCCCAAAGGCAGAGAGGAACCCAGACAAGACTATGCCAAATGGCAGAGTCTCATCTGGGGTGGTAGACAGCTACCCGACCCTCTGTATACGGGGTCTATGGGGAATTTTTGCCTGAGCCTATGGGCTCGGTTTTGTCCCACATTAAAAAATGGCCTTGTACCACATTCTGCCTCATGGGGAGGTAAGGTAAATAACCTTGCTTCAGGAATTCTAGCTTGCTAATCAATTCCCTGTCTTTCAGTAGTGTATTCTCTTTTACAATATTCTCTTTCTTTCACCTACACCCGTATTGCTGTTCCTTTCACTCGAGTACTACCTTTGTTTGTAACTTTTGTTAAGAATACAACAACCAGTAGTAAAAATCTTGTCAGCATTAAATAAGCTATTGAGGTGTTGATATGCCATAAAACAAACCAAATCAAAAAATAAAAATTAGCTAGTACTTTTTCATTATAATAAGACATATATTATTGTATTCACAGATGATATCATGGAGCATGCAATGTCACATGTTTGCAGATATTTCTGAGTGGGCATTCTACAGTATTCAATTATTTTTTTTTATTTAAGCCTTACTTAACTGTAACATCCTTTATGACCAAGTGGTAGAGTATAGGGCAGATCAAATGGTAATTTCTCCTAAAAGTGTAGAAATCAAACCTACTTTCTTTATTAAGATTTCTTGAATGTGCTGACAGACATAATACACACTGTTTAAAATAAAAATGGGGCATCTATTTCAAATACGAGTATCCTCTATAATAACATTTGAAGTAATAAAAATGTCAGATTAAAAATTAAATCTGTTAATTCTTTGGAAATTATTTTGTTTACATTCCAGATACAAAACTGAGCAGATACTGACTTTGGCAATGAGGAAGGCTTGTGGTTGAGTGGTATTGACATTGTGATTTCATCATGTCGAAGCTGGATAGTTAGCCAGTGTAGTAAGTCAGGTTTGCCAAGGTGACAGTTTGTAGCTGGATGGTGATATTGCCGAGATGTTATTGTGTCGAAGCTGAATGGTTGGCCACTGTAGTGAGTTGGGTTTGCCAAGATGTTGGTAATGATGAAGGCCTGCAGCTGGGTGGTGAAAATGTTGACATGCTGTTCTGGATTCCATGTGTAGAGAGTCAGCTGACTTGCCAAACACGGAAACAGCAATGATCGTTGAGAGGAATGGTCATGTTGGTGACAGTGGCAGTGGTGGCAGGAGCAGCAGCAGTTCCCTACATGTCAGCTGGTAGCCTCTCAGCCTGCAACTGCCCTGGTTGTTATCAGGGACCTATTTTAAGCAGATCTGGTAGTCCCCAGGGGCATCTCCTTTTCTAGTGGGAATGTTTATGATTGGCCAGTGTTGCTTTCATTACTAGAGCATGTTTTGTAGACTGGATGTGATGCTCAGAGGCTATGTGCAGAGAATGAGTTTTTTATTTCATTCCCTGCCTTCATGGTGTTCACATCTGGCCAACATGCAGAATGAATCAGAGAGTGCAATGAAGTATAACAATATTCTATCACTCTCTCTCCTCTTTCCCAATTCTGGATATGAGATGTAGTCATACATGGTGAAAAAAGTGTCCCCCACAGAGGCATATTCATTTTAGTTTCAATGTATTACTTTTCTCTCGGACATTTTGTACTCAAACACACATGTCTATCATGTAAGCCTACAAACATTCTAATTTAAATGCTTTCTATGTAATCAGTCTTTAAATGTTTTCTTCTTTTATTGTCATTGTATACTTTTGTTAATATGTGCATTGTCATTTGTTTTATCTACTGTTTTCTGTTATTCATTTATTACTTGAACTCATATAATGATATTTGTTACATGAAAAACGTACCAAGAGACATGCATTTTCCCCATAAACACAATAAGCATTCTCACAACAATTTTGACTACTACCTTGTGTTACATCCCAAATGACTGACTTATATACAATACCCCGAACTGAGCAAACAATCGATCCTTGTAGATCACGGTAAATAGGTAAATAAAAACCCTTTCACATACCTCAACCACATCTTATCTCAATGTTTTTTTTGTCACTTCCACTTTACAGTTTAAAAATCTGAATAGAAGTTGGGTCTTAATTGATCAATATTTACTGTAAATTTTGATGATAAGAAGCACAAATCTCAAACCACAGTTGACTTGGTTTTATCACAGAAAAACAATTTCATTGATTATTTCACATTCTTGCTGATAAAACTGAGTTTATGTTTATTTGAAAATATTATTTAATATTGTTCAAAACAAATTATTAAAAAAATATAGTGTTATCTTATTTTCATACTTTTTTTTTACTTTGTCTTTATGTACCATAAACTCAAGTGTAAAAGAAATGGTTTAGGTTTATTACAAAATATTATGTAATATTATTCAAAACAAATTATTATAAACACAGACTTTTATACATATATCCATAGTTTTTATTCAGTCTAGATCTTCAAGTCAAAATAAATAAATAAAAACACTTCTAGTTTGACCCATTTCCAAAAATATTTGCTGACCCCTGTAATGGAAAATAATGCAGAGCAATGCTAAAAAATTAAGTTAACCCACTTCTCAAAATTAGTATTTCATTTACTAAACATCATTTTTCATATGCTGTATCCCTTCAGGATATGGCAATCCTTGCTCTCTAGCTCCTTTTTAAACTTTGTAGCTCTAAGCAATGTTTGTGCTCTTACTATTCCTTCCCTCCCTGTTCTGCAACTTCATCATTAGGTAGGCTACTTGATGTTTCCCTTCAGCTTCTCTTATATTCAATACCCTGTGAGTGATAAATTTCCCAGACCCTGTTTCCTCATTATGTATTACTGAACTGTCTCTTTCTGATTGTAAGTACAAGCAATGTTTTTATTTCAATTTTCTTTAAAAACATTTTTCATTTCTATGGCATCCTCAGTATTCTTATGTAGGACCTTATTTCTGTTGTTTCAGTTCTCTTCTTCATCTGTGAGGAAATTGTCCAGCATTCACAGACATATTGATATTGCGTAAGAATTTGGCAATCTTTTCTTTGTTTCTTGTGAAATTTTCCTTCAAAAAAATGATTTGGGAAGTAGATTGGGCCAAGAAATTTTCAGCATTCCATAAAATTCTCTTTCTGAACTTCACTGAATGTTTTACATTTGTAACCTTGTACTGTCCAAAATTATACTAAATTCAGACTAAATTAAGAAATCTGCCTGTTTTATTCTTGTACAAGCCATCAACATATCAAATTGTAGCAAAAGGTCTGGCAGAATTTTATATATTTTCACTATTTACAGTGTTTGGAATGTTGTCCTCATCTTTATGTTTTGGCTGTTGTATGCTCAGGCCTTCTTCAGGTGAAATTTGTACTTTTTACTGAACCCTTTATTTAGTCATGAACATCATAAATATGGCACTGAAGCTAAGGACAAAAAAATCCATCAACACCGTGTGAGGATGCTCTTCCACTCATGAATATAAATGCACACTGCATCAGCCCTTTTGGATATGTCCAGTTGGTTATAGTCAGTCAACTGAGAAGCAAATCTGTGGTACTGAATGGGATATTTACTGTAGCCCATCTTAATTCACCAAGACAAGATACATACAGTATCAACTCCTAAAAGGGCATATCTATCTGGTTATGGTCAGGCAACTGAGATACAAATCTGTGGTACTGAATGGGACATTTACTGTAGCCCATCTTAATTCATCAAGACAAGATACATACAGTATCAACTCCTAAAAGGGGCATATCTATCTGGTTATGGTCAGGCAACTGAGATACAAATCTGGGGTACTGAATGGGATATTTACTGTAGCCCATCTTAATTCACCAAGACAAGATACATACAGTATCAACTCCTAAAAGGACATATCTATCTGGTTATGGTCAGGCAACTGAGACACAAATTTTGGGTACTGAATAGGATATTTACTGTAGCCTTTTTTAATTCTGAAGACAATACATGTACACATTACTAGTGGTATTCAATTAAGATCAAAAGTTATGCCAGTTGGTGTTAACAGTAGATTTAGTGGTCAGGGCTCGATTCTGACCTTTTATAGGCCCTAGGCTAATGAATGTATGTGGACCAAACCCTCTAAATGGAGCCAAATTCTAACTCATCCACACCTGCCTGGAATATTTTTTTTTAC